GTTACCAATTTTACTGATCTTTCCACAGCTTGTGTGTGGCATGGGAACTTTGCAAAATTCCAGTCAATTGGTATTGTTTTTTTTAGCAGACTTTTCAAATAGTGTGTAGTTACATTATTCAGTATTGGTGGTGGAGCTACTTCGCTAGACGACCAGTCAATTAGTTTGATGTAGTCGTTTGCTTCAAAGTTTATTTTTGGAATATCGAACTTTCTAATCCCATTGTGTCCATCCATCTCACATGATTCTCGTGCTTTTATGATTCTTCGAATTCCAAGGGCTCTGATATGTTTTCTCTCATCAGTCAGCATCGCGAGCAGAATATTTTCCGGAGATGCGAAGTAAGCATTTCGAGAAATCACTGGGTCGATGACGTTGCGGTTGACTTGATCCAAGTATCTGGATGACTGAATGAAATGATAAAGATGCCGAACTCCATCCTTAATTGAAGGATTGATTTTGATGCGGAACCAAGATGGCGCATACACCCTGATAACAAACTCTACTATCGTACGTAAGTTGTCTGATGGTTCCGTGGTGGAAACATACAGTCTCAATATCCTGTTGGCTGTTGTCAACCAACGTGACATGTTTAGGGGACCTGGATCGCGCTTAGCAAGATCTGGAGGACATATGCCTGAGCTAACAGCGAGAGCAATATCCCTCAGATACTTCTGGTCTTTACTCAAAGTGGATACATCATCTGATGGCAAGGTGCAGTTAACTGGCTCATATTTTACCACTGGAAGAAGCTCACACGTCTTCAAAGATTTTCCATTGCAACCAGTGTAGGAATTGGGTCCGGAGGTGGAACCATCGAGGGACTCGAATACGTGGCGGAGAGGCAATTCGTTGAAATGTAGTTGACAAATAGCCCATTGCACAGCTCTTCCAATCTTCAGTTCAAGACGACGTAGTACCCCATTATGAACTCCAGTATTTACGACCGTTCCATCACACCCTAAAACAACAATATGGTGTAAACCTCCGGGTATTTCTGCACTGATATATTCGTAAATGCTTTCAGCAATGGCCAGACTTGATCCTGAAGCAGGCGTAACATGACCAACGTAATAAGATCCTGGTTCTTTCACCAAGGAATAGTGTTCCTCTACAACTGCTCTTTGGTAATATTTATCACCAAACTTTTCTGTAAACAATGTTTTGTCACGTCGGCCGTCGAAGTAAAGACCTGTTAAACAATCATTGTCAATGCCTACGATTAGGCCTACGTCGTGCAGAACACTAGAAGCAATGGCAGCCGTGGCTTGAAGCGATACCCCAAATCTTTGACTTATTAATGCGGTATTTGAAAGTTTCCTTCGCATTTGCCAAGAGGATGAAGTCGATGGTCCGGGATTGTAGTCGCAATTATCAGGTTCAAGTTCCTTATCTTCATCCATTGCCTCATCATCTTCTAATGGCGTTGATGTTGATGACGGTTCGTCACCATGAGGCTGTAATGAGTAGGACGCTGTAGATTTAGATCTACGAGGGATATTTTTATTCTTCCTTTCAGCACGTGCTTGGAGCTTTTTAGTTTCTTGCAAATCGAGCGATCCAATGCACATTAAGCGCTTTTTCCTCTGATCAGCAAGAAATGTCTGTTCCTTAAAGGGGACCTTGGATTCCTTCGGACAAACGCATTCTGTAAACGTGGAGCACTTACAAGCTGATATATCAAAAAGAAAACATGATTCTTCTTTAAACTTCTCCACCCTTGCTTTAGTTGACAAGCTTTTATCTATTCTTTTATAAACTGCCTTAATATCAATATATTTCTTGTGATATGCATGAATCATATCAAGGACACGTTTCTGTGAAATTGTTGGAATGGAAGCATCAAAATACAACATTTCCAGCATTACACAAACTTGCTTAGCAATGTAAGAAAATGAAGGTTCCTTATTATCACTATTTTCAGATCCAAGTCTCCACCTTTCGTAATTACAGCAATTAATGACCTCCCCTTTTGTTGGAAGTATTCTAGAAAAATTGGTCGGTGTCCCGAAAATTGGGCAGTCTAATGCTCGCCGTCTTAAAAATTTTGAGGATTTTGCCATTTTCTGTGCCATTTTCAAAAAAACTAAGTGTGGATCGTAGTATCTACGACAGGAACGAAGTTTCAAATTGATGTCTCAGGACTATCATGAGAAAAAAAATGTTAACCGTTTAATATTGATAATGTTAATCAAATTAAAAAAGTAGGCTTAAACAGATAATTGTTTAATATTTTTAGTTTCCGTATAAAAATTTACAACGGTAAACTTGTTTAAATTATTATATTCATAATTTAAATTAATGACAATATAAAGTAATGATATATCTTACCAGTATAATTATAAACAGATTTAAATTTATAATTTATTTGATTGACTTTTTTCTTGTAACGAGATAATCATCAAGCTATCAACTCTTCTAAATAATAAGAATGACTGATAAGGACTGGTAGTTATCAATTATGCCTGGTTGATAAAGAATGACTGATAATTAATAACTAATAATCATTAATTATTGATAAATAATTATTGGTTAATGATAATCTGGAAATCTGCTGCTAAAATAATTGTAATGTAAAAAACAGTGTATTTGTCGATTTTTGGGTAATTTCAGGCTCCTTGCCAGAACAGAACATATTGTCCGTGGACCGCCAAATTTCGCACTTTAATTAACCATATATAGATGAAACTTTTGCACACTACCGCAAAGTTCTGTGACCTTTAAAAAAAATGTTCAAAAAAAAAAAAAAATTTTCTAATTTTACTAAATTTTTGAAATTTCACGGCCTTTGCCAGAACAGAAGACATTATCCTAGGGCGGTGAAATTTTGAACACAAGTTACTTATGTATAAAGGCAACTTTTCCGCACTACCCTCAAAGCATTATAAAAAATTTTCATTTTTCGAGCCCCCCTAATGTATAATGTCTTGATCTAAGGTCAACGCCCACGTAATGGTTAGTAAGACCCTAACCGAGTCCGACGTCAGACGCGCGAAGTGGGGCTAGTAATGACGCGGGCGTTCCTTGGGGCCATGGCGTTGCCAAGCGCTATGGTCCCCCTATAAAGCAGCATGAATTCTAATAACATTGAGCCTCGGATAGTGGGTGGATCCCAAACAGCGGCCACCCCCACTCATGTTGCTGGGTCGGCCGGCGAGCCTAGCTCGTCTGTCCTGCCCGCCCTTCACCCTTGCCCGATATGTGAGCGTATGTTCAAAGGCAAGATTGGTTTCGGTGTGCACATGCACAGAGCGCATGCAGAGGTGGCCAATGACAACATCGACGTCTCGCGAGTTAAATTGCGATGGTCAGATGAGGAGAAGCGCATCATAGCGACGCTAGAAGCGACAGCGAAGGCTGACGGCGTTGCGGACAGGCATATCAACGAATATTTAGTTGAGCGACACAGGGGTCGAACCCTCGAATCGATAAAGGGTATTCGAAGAACCCAGGGGCACAGGGCACTAGTTGCCCAGTATCTAGCTGAGCTCCTAGACCAACTTGATCCAGATCTGTCTTGTTCGCAATCGGCTTCCAACGCTTCGGTTGATAGCTCGCTTGTTGATGTTATTAAATGTAACGGTATAAGCTTACAGAATATCAGTAATATTTCTTCAAGAGTAATTATTTTTGATTTTTTTAAATTAAAATATAATGGAATTAACTGGAGCACTACCTTTACAAAACTAGTTGAAAATAAAGTTTTAACATTTTGTATGGCGGTTTCTAGGAAATGGTCTAAAGTACAGCGTCACAATGCAATTTTTTAAGAGCGATCACCGAATGGCTTAAAACGCCATTTGAAATGCCATTAAATAGGAAAATTTGTTCCAAACCTATCGATGGCCAACCTAATGTCGATTTTACTGAATCTTCTGAACGTTCAAAGAGACGTAAAATAAACTCTGCTTTTACTTTAACTACAATGACATCACCTGAAATTTTATCCGCTGCAAAAAATAAACTATATTTTTCTGGTAATCGAAATAAGGCTTTATTATTTGACCAATTATCGTCTTCTACTAATAGTTCAACAGCAATGAAAATGATTTTGGAAAATTCCAATGATAATAAACCAATTCCGTATACCCCAGACGAAGCTCTAGCATTTATTGTTCATAATAAACTTACAAAACAACAATACTTGAATATTCGTCTTGGTTCTAAAATAGGAACTGTAATATTCATCCATCTTACAAAAAGGTTTATTTTGCAAAACTGAAGTGTTATCCAAATAATTTGGATGTTAGCGAATCAGGTTGTAAAATACCTCTTCAAATCTTATTAGATCACACAATTAATAGAATTTTTCGAATTTTTCGAATAGAAACAATAAGCAAGGTTGAAAAAAATAGAAAATCTATTGAAATGATTTCTAAATGGGTCTGTGACGGTAGTAGTGGTCAAGCCCAATATAGGCAAAATTTTAATAGTAATGTGTGTAAAACAGACCAAACGGTATTTATGTCTCTATTGTCCCTCTTGAACTTCGATGTTATAGTGATAATAGTTATGACATTATTTGGAAAAATCTCACTCCATCGTCAACAAGATTTTGCCGACCTATAAAATATATGTTCATGAAAGAAACTATTGAAAATACAAAATTAGAAGTTGAAGATATAGAACAACAAATAAGGGAATTAAGTAATACGCATGTATTATTTGACGAAGAACAGCTTGAAGTTAAAAACACTCTTATATTTTCTATGGTCGATGAAAAGGTAAAATTAATGCTCATCTTATTTATAATTTAATAAGTTTCTTTTTAACTTGCATGAATTAAATTATTTATTTTAAAAAATAATGTATATTTTTAATAGTCTATGGTCAATAATTATTGTTATTTTGTTTTTATTACACATTTAAAGGTTTACAATTCAATGACTGGAACATCCAGTCAAAATTGTTATACTTGCGGGTGTAAGCCGACCGAAATGAATAACATTGAGGCAATTAAAAGTCGACCTGTTATAAAGGAAAATTACAGATACGGATTATCAATATTACATGCGTGGATACGTTTTTTTGAATATTTTATCCACTTATCGTACAAGTTAGAATTTAAAACGTGCCAGGTAAAATTCCTAAGATTAATTTTGTAAATTTTAATTTAAATATTTCATTAAATACATTATAAATATAGGTGAAAGCTGAAAACAGAGATCAATATAATGCGCGAAAAAAACTTGTTCAAAATAAATTTCGTGCTGAGATGGGGCTTCTAGTTGATATTGTGTTGCAAGGTACAAAAAATTATAATAATAATGTAGCAAATGGGATATAAATATTATATGTATTAAATATTATGTAAAAACTTAAAATTTGCATGGTAATTTTATAAATAGGTCATGGTACAACAAACGACGGCAATACTGCACGGACATTTTTTAAAAATGCAGAAGCATCATCTTTATGTACTGGCATTGATGTTAATTTAATAAAACGTTGCGGAAATATTTTATGGACTATAGCAAGTGGATATACAATTAATATAGAAGCCTTTGAAAAATATTGTATTAACACAGCCAAGGTATTTGTTTCTCTGTACCCATGGTACTACATGCCAGCGTCCGTACACAAAATTTTACTACACGGTGCAGATGTTATACGATTTTCACCTCTTCCTATTGGTAATAGATTTAATAAAATTGAATATAAAATACATAAATATCTATTTTATATTTAATGAAATAAAATATTTCAGGGAATTTATCTGAAGAAGCCCAAGAGAGTCGCAACAAAGACTATAAAATGTACAGAGAGCACCATACCCAAAAAAATTCTCGCCTTAACACAAATGAAGATCTTTTGCATATATTACTTATATCATCTGATCCTTACATTTCCAGTTTGAATAGACAAACAAATTATTATTCAAAGGAACTGACAATGGAAGCAAGGACTTTATTAATACAACACAATGATGATGCTGAATATAGTAAAATTGAGGAGGATATGGAATTAAATAATTCTTTATCAGAATTAAATTTCTAAATATAATTACCAAATTTGTAAATAACAAAACAATTATTACAAATATAAATTCATTTTACTTTATTTATTAATGCATAATAATAATTATATATTTGTAAACAATAAAACAATATTGATGTCATAAATATATCGATAAGAAATTGATAAAACCAATGAAATGATTAAAATTACAATTTTTACGAAAATACACGTTTATTATAGGGAAATTCTATGTGCACGGCTCAAATGCAATCTAACGCAAAATTTTTTTTTTTTTAATTGTAGCTTAAGAGTTCTTCTACAACATGCATGTATTGGTGTAATCGTAATAATGCGTAATTTTGAGTTAAACTCTTTAAAAAACAATGTAAAATGAGTATTTGCATTTTTTTTTGTGTAAAAAATTATTAAAATTAAAAAAAAAAGAAATAAAAATTTTTTCTTAGTAAATTTGAAAGCCGATGACTTTTTAAACATTTTTTAAATAAAAAAAAAAAAAATAACGTTTTTAATTAAGCAGGAAAAAATGATTGAAGAAATAATAAAAATCCTTGAAAAAAAAACAAAAAAATACAGTGTTATGATATTTAAATAGCACTCAACCATTACTGTATCAACTTTTGGCCTTGAATTTTTGTACATGACCTTATAAGGATATAATAAAAAAAATTTTTATTAGTTGATTTAAAAATGGTACTTTTGGCCGGCTAAATCAACGTTTGGTCCCACTGTAACGCATACGCGATCTATCTATTTCTATTGAGTTCAATAAATATCTTATTTCAGTGAAGCAGTGAGCTAGCCAATTGTTAACCAATTGTACATCTGAGCCGGCAGGAACTCCCGAGAGTTCTCCATCTATCAAGAGATAGAAATCAGATGGAAGGGTGTAAACATCTTGCTGTTGAATATATATTCGTATCTCATCATTATTCGATAGTGCGCTAACCAGAAACGGTTGATAGGAAAAATAATCCAATTTCACTATGCGGTCTTCATTGCACGGCGTTTCCATTACTTCTAAAATATCGTCCATTGTTAATTGTATATCCCAAAGCAGAAAGAATTTCAAGGTTTTCACGTCGTATCTCTTCAACTAGTCGTTGTTTAATGATTGGTTTTTTAATATTGCTCTTGGTTTTATTGAATCGAAGAGCCATCGCGTATATGTAGACGTATAGTAACAGGCTCACCTCTAAAGTTAATCGCTTTATCGTCTTGATCTGTTATTTTCACAGTAATAGAGTATAGTTGATTGGATATTAATGGATAGTATATCAAATTTTTAGGATTTTCAACAATACGGTAACCAACTGCCACTCCTGGATTAAACTCGTGAACCGTATGACTAGGAATTTCGTTGTCAAATGCGCCATAAGCAGCGTTACAATTTATTTTTATACTAGTTAAATTATTTATGTTAGCAACTTGATCCGATATATGTATTTTATTTGCGTCGAGTATTTTTCGATGAAAGCCTAAAATACCACCTATACTATTTTCAACGCTAAAATCTATCTGTCGGCTACACTTTAATTCTGATTTTAAAGTGTTTTTATTAGCCTTCAACATGAATGAGATTTTATACGACTGAAGACGTTCTTCTAGATATTTACTAATGTCTTCAAGTTCATAAGTGCCTTCGGGCACTTTAATTTCTATGTTATTTTCAAGAAGGTCGTTATTTGTATTTATCAAAGTGAATGTATTGTTTGACTTGTCAATATTTGTAATTGAATTACATCCGTAAAATCCCAACAACGCAACCTCTGGTGCTCCAGTGAATTCTATCGGTGGAAAAAAACTTGATGTGACTTCCGACGTTGTGTCATGCAGCGTAAGGGTCAGCGATTTGAGCATTGTGATTTTAAAAATTTTAAACACAGCTGACTACAAACGTTTGTGTTATATTTTGTTTCTGATTATAAATGTATTTCATGCGCAATCCGGTGAAATATTTTTCAAGTTCGAGCGGAGGAGGTAAATTTCCAAAAGAGTCAAAATACACCACGTCCTTGCTTTTCTTGAAATATGCTACCCAATGCGTTTCTTTTCCACGGTCAATGTCCAAATTAACAACTGCACCCTCGTATATTTTGGGCTTGACAGGCAACTTATCTCTCGAAAAGAAACCGCGGAAATGACTGATCCCGAATGACTTAGCATATTTTATAATATCTAAATCGCTGAGTAAACGTCGCTTGGGTAGTGTCAATGCTTGTTTTTTTGATGTTTCAAATAGAATCCACCACCCTTCTTTTTTCCAGCACTTAAAAAGAAAAAAACAAAAATAGGTATGATGTACATTACTATACAACGACAACAACTCAGAATAAAAATTTACGAATAACATAAAAAAAACTTAATATAAAATAAATGAAAACAAAGATAAGCCAAGCAAAAACAGCAAGGATCCTGGCAGGGTCGCCACTTTGAAAGGTTACAAATATAAAAAAAAAATCGAATTTATTGGCCGCAACGAAAAATTTGTAACTTTCATGGCGCATCGAAAAATTACAAGAAAATGGTCGCCAACCTACTGGGCGAGACAGTGTATTGTCGGACCACAGTAGGATTTAAAAAAAATTAACTTTTGTATATAAAAACGGTAGCACAGTGGGGTCACGGCATAGTGGAGACATTGCATAGTAGGGTCCAGTATAGATTTAATCTGACAGTGATTAAAATCACTATCATAAGAAACGCTTCGATGCAAATCTGTAGATAGTGTTTAATTTTAAAAAATTGATGGATAATTGCAAAAGCAACATCAACTTCTATTAAAATAAAATACAAAACCCATAATTATCATACAAAAATAGTATATTTTTCAATATGGTAGCCATTTGCGTATAGAAGATAGATCGTCGGGACAAATTTTTTTTTTTCATTTTGTAGTACATAAAATAAGCTTTAATTTGATATATGTTTAAAGAACGCAAGTATTTCCGGAACATTTTCAAAAATTAAGTTGAAAAAGTTATTTTTGTAAAAAAGTTACTATTTTAAATCCTCCCAGTGAACAGAATAAGTGTCTAGATTTTCAAAAAAAATTATATCAAATGAAAGGGAAATATCTAAGGTTTCAATACAAAAAAATATTATTTTTATTTGTTCATTTTTGAAAAAGTTATGGCAGTTTTAAGTACAAAAAACATCCCGATAAAATGTAATTTTTATCGCAAACATTACATTTTTTTTTAAATTTTCGACAGCCATTTGCACATAGAAGATAAGATGTCGGGACAAATTTTTTTTTTTCATTTGATAGTATATAACATAACCTTTGATTTGATATATGTTTAAAGGACGCAGTATTTCGGGAACATTTTCAAAAGTTCAGTTGAAAAAGATCTATGTTTTTTAAAATATTTTAAGTTTTGAACGTCCCCTATATAAGGGGAAATTGTCCAATTTTAATAAAAAGTATGTCAAATGAAAGATGTACTTATAATGTATTTAGAAAAAAAAAATTTGTGCTGATATATACATTTTTCAAAAAGTTATAGCATTTTTAAGTTGAAAATTTAAAATCGAAAATCGAAAATTTTAACACAAAAATAGTGTTTTTTTAACTACGGCAGCCGTTTAAATGTAGAAAAAAAAGTGTCGGGACAAATTTTTTTTTTTCATTTTGTAGTACATAAAATAAGCTTTAATTTGATATATGTTTAAAGGACGCAGTCTTTCCGGAACATTTTCAAAAATTAAGTTGAAAAAATTAATTTTTGTAAAAAAGTTGCCATTTTAAATCCTCCCCAATGAGCAGGTTAAGTGATATATTTTCAAGAAACTGATATTAAATAAAAGGTAGATATCTAAGGTTTTAGTATAAAAAAAAATTATGTTGATTTGTTTATTTTTCAAAAAGTTATGGAAGTTTTAAGTAAAAAAGTGAAAAAATTTCGAAAATTAGCGATTTTTAAATTTGTAATTTTTTTGGAGGTTTCCCCTATTTGCGGGGAACGAGGGAATTTTTTTCAATTTTTAAGGGTAATGTCTTCAACTAGATACGATTTGTGATCTTTTGAGGTATTTTTGAAAGAAATCGGTCCAGTGAGAACTGAGAAAAAGTGGCAACAGAAAAAAAAAAAAAAAAAAAAAAAAAAACAAACACATCATAGTAAAATTAATACCTTCTCCGCTTCGCATCGAAGCAAAAACAATTAAACAAGAATATAAAATTAATAAATATTTAAGTTGATGTCCGTTGAGTCGTTGATAGTAGATGTACAGCAAAACATCGTGACAGTTGTCACATAGCCATATTAATGAGGGATGACCTTATACCAAGCCGTTGTCCGTACCTTATAAACTAAGGGGAGATGATTTTTGAAAGGAAAAAAATACACGAGTCCGTTGAAGATGGAACACGCAAAAAAAAAGAAGATAATAGTTAAGTTAAATTAAGGGGACTTTATTAAGTAAGAAAAAAACAAAAAAATTATGTTAATACGAGGCAAAAAACCGAACGGTCAAAATACCTCGTCTACAATTAAATGGGATAAAGAGAAAAAAAAACAGGTATTAATAAAAAAAATAGTTACACCTACACTTTTATTATTAGAGAATACGATGAATGTCTTCGGGTATCCACCGGCTATTAATCGCGGCAGTACCGCTAAGCATGGCGGGTATACGGGTATATGTTTAGGGACCTAAATAAAAAAATAGGGGCACCTACAAAAAAAATTTAATAACAAAAATATAAAAAATTTGCCATACGTTGTTATGGCAAGGCGCACAAAAACAAATAATCTGGCTCAAAACATTAATAATAAATGATACATTACCAGCCCCGAAGGGCTACAGAAAATGGAGGCAGGATTAGCCATAAAAAAAAAATTACATACTAAAAAAAAATAGCGGACACTCACGAAAAAATATATCTATATAAAAAAAAACAGTTGTAGCGCACACAACAAAAATCACGACCGCTACGGACGAAAATTAGCGACAACCAGTTCCGATGATGGCTAATTTTCGACAAAACGTCCGGC